TATATATATGTAAGCTGACAGGAGTGTGTTTCGATTATAAGCCTGCATCACAGTATACAATTTCAAAGACAAAATACACGATGACAATAATATACCCAATGACCTGAAGGATCATGTGTGTTCATTCAAAGAAAGGTTTTCCTATTAATTAATTAGCAAAGAAAATTCCTTCCCTTGTGGATTTTCCTTATGAGCAAGGAAAGCGATTTTCTTCACCTAAATTCCAGGAGGTCGTAAATGTATCGGGTGTCAGGGTTACCATGGAACCAGGGGCCTGTTCGGCTTCCTGGGGTGTTACAGAGTATTTGTTAAATCTAGCTAACAAAATATATATTGTGTGTTTGAGTGGTCCAGACACTACAAGATATTAAGCAGACAGTCTACTAATACTCTAACGCTAAAATAAAGTTTAACCCAGTGATGTTGTCAGCTGTGTGTCAACCTGGCAAACTGTTGGTAGGACGGCTGATTTAACTTTCCAGTCCTTGCTGATATAGTGGCCTGTAATTGTCATAAAGCCCTCTGTTTTGTGTACCGTCCAGCAGTCAGTCATAAGAGCCACAATATTTGTGCTAGCAAGTTGCTTCTTACGCACTTTTTTTTTCAAAAACAGTAAAGGGAGATATCTGTTTAAAAATAAACCATTAGTTGGGAAGATAGGATCTGGAGGACGAATAGCACTTGTTGTTGTTTTTTCATTTCTCTAATCACAAATGCAGACAGGGTTTTATGTTTACGCGGCACGATGCAATGCAACGCAACGTGTAAAAAGACAGTATAAGTCATTATAATCAGTAATTATGTCCCCACTGGATGCAACAAATGCCTCGTTTGTAATGGGTTTTAATGTTGTCTCGTCGCTCCGGCCGGGACATGGCATCAACAGTATGTGAGGGGCCACATTTTCATCTCACGCTTGAGGTATTCGGCCAATCACAATGCACTGGATAGCTGGCCAATCACAGCACACTTTGCTTTTTCAGACCGATGAGTTTTGTAAAAATCGACGCGTTTCAAAAAGGCGGGGCATAGAGGAGAAACAATAATGTACAGCATGTGGAAAATAATGTGTTTTTTTACTTTAAACCGCATAAACACATTTCATTACACCAAATACACAAAATAATGTTCTTTTTAGCATCATCATATGACCCCTTTAAATAATTATATATTTTTTGGTTGTGTATAGCAGTATAGATCCTTAGTCCACACTCCAGATCAGTGGGTGGCGGTAATGCACCCAAAAGCTGTTTGCCAACTGCCAATAAAAACAGAAGAAGACTGGGGGTGCTTCTCAGGCTGCATTCCACTCCACTTTTAGACACGCACTGGCAAACTTCCCCTCGGGGGAATCCCCACTGCCATTTTGAAGTGCGTTCCACTTCGCGAAGTGGACGAGGGAAGTTTATATGGACAGACCCTCGACCCCTCGATTATGACAGAGGGAGCGAGTCTGTTTCATATGCACATTTCAGGCCACTCCATAGACCACAATGCAACACGATTGTGATGTCATAGATCGCGTTCAATTTATCCCAACCCCAAACAACTCTATAATATATGAATGCTTTTTTTTCCATTTATAACAGCCCAAGCATACCTATATACAAATAGAATGCTGCACCAAACAAATTCCTAAGGGGAAAAATGTAAACAATAAACCAACTGTATAGAGGATTCTAAGTGATCAAGGGCTTAGGACGTTCCAGTTCAGACCATTGCAAGGGTTCCGCCAGAAGTGGGCACTCATTCAATGTATTCAATGACGTACATCCGAGTGAACGAGACGGAGGGAAGTTTGCGAGTGAAGGGCATAAAAAAATGGACTGGAATTCAGCCTCAATATCCCTCCTCGTTTCCTCGCTCCTCCGTCCTCCATCCTGTGACCTGGAAACTGATTGAGCTCAGCCATCTTGTAGGACATCTCAATTCTCTAATTGCACCTCGAGGAGGCGAGGATCGAGGAGTGAGGAGGCTTCCTGAGGAGTCATGAGCGAGGATACATAGGTGTATTCTTTGTGGAAGTGTTTTATCGACTAAACGTGACACACATATAAATTCTCTTCCCCCTTTCACATCTGCACCAAGTGCAAAGAATACAAACACATAAATGTGAGCATTAAGCATGAAGTTACTGTAAATGTGGGTTGTTTGACAGTGCCTTTAATTTTTATGTATAACGTGTACTTTTAATTACGTTTATTTACGTCTTTTGATTTTAATGGCTTATTGCTTTTCATTTTTAAATTAATGCCTCTTATATTGGTTAACAGAGAATAAAAAGCAGTTAATAACTGGGAATAATTCATTGTTATTAATAACTGTTAATATAAAAACAATACAGACAAATGTGGTATTTTGTGGCGGTTGAAACTATTACAATATAAATAATTATCTCTAATGTTCAAGAATACACCGCTGGATTTAGCTTGCACGTCTGTAGAGTCATCATTCAGGGTCGGCGCCAGGGCATACGGAACGAGGGGGCATCGATGTGTCACTGGGGGGGTCTACCACTAGCACCTCACTAAAATAATAATAATACTTTACTAAACCTATCTTTATGAAAAGATTAAGCGCTACACACTATAAAATAGTCGCACCATCATGCCTGACGCTAACGAGCACATAAAGCACTTTGATAAATAATAGCTAACAGCACTAACCACATATTCACATATTAGTGACACAGATACAAAAAGCATAAAGACATCTTACCTTTAGAAAAGCTGCAGGCGACGAGTGGAAGTGTTAAACTTTCTCATAAGAAGGTATTTCCATTCGTTCCGTAGTTTCTTTGTAAGGTCCCGTTCAAATGCAAGATGCACAAGCTGAGCCTTGTGAGTGTGGTTCATTGCTCGTCTGTTGTCCGTAAAAACGTTCTTTAGGACTGAAAAGGAGTTCTCACACATAGTGGTTGAGGCCCCGAATGTGACAGCGAACAAAGTTTAAGAGCAGACAAAACACTGGGCATAGCTTCAAGTACTTTGTGTTGTTCAGAGAGAAGTCTCCTAGTGGTTATCATCTGCTGGCTTTCTTCTGTTTTGATTCTGGAGATATATTGCTTTGCAACGATGCACTCCATTTCCACAATGGTAGAATTTGTTAAATTCATGATGGGCTCTATGGACTTTACATCTAAAAAGGTCTAATTTTCTGGGTCAAGTGCGGCAAGCGCTGCGGCCAACTTTGAATTACGTTCACTGAAACGTGCTTCCATTTCACCAAGAATATGATCCAAAGCATTGAAGTACAGCCTGCGTAGCTCCATTGTATCACTGACGTTGGCTCCAGTTGTTTCTTACACTACATACTCGCTCAGGTTCTTATTTACCTGCCGACTCCGTTTTGCTGGGACAGGTGTATCGGTCGTACTCGCTGTAATAGTGTCCCCGAGAATGCAGAATTCATCTTCGCTGCGGATATTGCGCACAGATTCTGCAGCTGAGGATACATGTTTCATTCCGGTCAAAAGGTCTGTATCCTCTCCTTGGAGCATGTTGTTGGCAGGATTGAGCAACATCAGAACCTACAGGGTATATGGCGTTTTTATTAGAGGTTGCATTAAAAGGTTTCCATCATTTCCGTCAATAATATAAAGCATTTAAGGATAACTAATAAATGCTGTGATAATCAAACAATCATTTTGAAAAAAAAATTAAGAAATTATTTTGAAATTATTTTACTTGTTTTCTTTCTTTAGTCTAACTTGGATGTTTTTAACGACGAGTGCATGCGCACACTCAAATAATTTAGCCCATTTCACACATTTACATTTAATAACAAAATTATATTACATTTAAGTGATTTTTTAACAATGTGAAATGATGGAAACTTTAAATATATTCAAATTGTACTGTATTATTTTAAAAATTTTAAGATAAATATTAAATATATCAATATTAAATTAATTTGTAAGTAATTTAAAATATCACGGTGTCTACAGATATGAACAAGTTAAATTTAAGACCTTTTTAATACCACCTTATGTGAAATTTAAGACCAAGCCTGTGATGGAAATACACATTATATTACATACGTATATGTAATATTTAACGCATTTAAATGTAAAAAGAAAACAAAATATCATCGCTGTCAAAAATGCTATTTGTTATTACGATATACAGT